TCTTGTATCCCGTCTCGATGAGTCTCATCGTCACCCACTGGTCACCATAGCCGGTAAAACTCCAGACGATTCTAGAACTGCACTACCGTTCATACTGGCGACAATGCTCTAATGAGACAACAAAACCTCACCTCAAGCTCCTCTCTTGATCCTATCCTTCGACAATGTACCCATTTAATCTCGGGTAAGCCGCGAGTATTCGACCCAACTCCTACTAAACACAGAATAAAGTGAATTTTGTTACAATGAACAATGAATTATTGGCTCCGTAAAGCTAACGCGATTGAGCCTTACAAATAAACGAACTAGATAAAAGTAAATATTTCGTGATCCATGCACCCATAAGTGTGATTTGCTATCCTGAAATCGTGAACTTGTATCACATGCAAAGCTGCTGCTGTCATTTTCCGTTGTCGTAGAATTTATCCATACTGAGTGCTCGGTTCCGTCGAGAATTTTGTTTTTATTATTAGAGAATGCAGCTGAGCAGTACCATCAGAATGGTTGCCAGACATAAAGCCAGTGCACAGCCAATGCCGTGTACCTTGAAGAAAAGGATCCCCGAACGTTGCTCCCGCCGCTGCAGTGGAAGTCGAAGGGTAGTGTTGATTTGTTGAAAGTGTGTCCATTCCATCCGCTGGACAGATGCCTGACGTCAGTGTGGGTGAAATATGCATCGAGTCTTCCATTGTTTTCTTTCCACTTCCTCACACCATTAAATTTTTTGAAAATTATTTTATTGTTGGAATTTTACAGTCCATGAACCATGTTCCCGTTTTCGAAAACAGGTTCACGATATCCAGCACTACTAATGAACATAAATCACGTTTATAAGAACTAGATCACTAGATTCAGAACAAAGTTTTCTGTTCTATGACATTTGTTGCCTTTGCTGGTGCCCGGTACACCATAAAGCAGGCGTTACTTTTGTTTTGCGGAACCCAATTTCGGAACGGAATTTTTCCCTTGCAGCAGCAAAAGCGCCAGCTTTGTCATCTTTTTGCTACAAAGAATTACTCCCATTCGATGTAGTGGAAACTATATCTCACGTGTTACATTTTTTTTTCTCCTTCCAGATTTTCCTGTTCCAAGTCGAGGCAAAATAGTGTCACTCAACCTGGAAAGTGCACATGCATCCGTTGGATCCGAGTCCCGGACCGTTAAAGGTTGGTACATAGAAGTGTGGTGGTGATGGTTATGGTGGGAAAATCTTTGCTAGTGGCTCAAAGCATGCTCGACTGAATACGAGAGTACCTGCAACTATAGGCATTAGGGTGGGTCAAGTTTGTACAGTGCACTGTGGTCCAGAATGCAGATTTAGGTGGAATGATATGTTTTGAGCCTGAAGTTGGAACTTTAGACTAAAAGTCTCTTCTACAAAGTTGTTCCTTATAGTTAGGCCCTCATTTTTATGACAATGAATTCTAGGGTGGTTCCTATTATCATTAAAATCAAAAATTTAACTTTTTTGCTTAAATAAATTAAGGTATACATTTTTCGGCAAAGTTATAGATGAGCTAATTTCAAGCAACTTTGTTGAAAATAACTTTTTTGTATTTCTTAAATTGGCCGATTTAGAGCTATTTTCTTGAATTGAGTTAGGGTGGCTCTTAAAAAAACAGTTTTTTTTGCTCTATTTTTCTTATTTCGAGTTTCTCAGCAAAGGTGTCAAGAGATAACTTTTAGATCTTAAAAGGCGCATATTTTTGATGCACAAAACTTGTCAATATGTTTCACCGATCAAGAGTTATTGACGTTTTTATACTAAAAATATGCACTTTTCAAATATTAATATCTCTGGTTGGGGCAAACAAAAAAAAAAGTTTTTTTTGCAGTATTTGAAAGGGCGTATGTTATTCTCAATCATATGAAAAAAAAGGAGGTACATTATTTTTTAAACTCGTATAAAATCAATTTGAATTTATTCATATTTTTTACTATATTTGAGTATATCTTTTTTATTAGAAGTGATACAGGCAACAAATCCAGCTATAACACATTCGTCTTAAAGAGTTTTAAAAGTCTCTAGAAGATGACTTTCATGATAAATTTCAAATAAAAAAGTTATTGGCAAAAGATGGATTTCATAGGACCACTCTAATGACAAATTTATATAAAATGTGCTAGTACATTAGTTTCAATATTTGGACATTTAGTGTCTTCGAAGAAGTTTTTGTTCTTAAAAATTCCCTTCTTTTGGTGTTTGCAAACGTCAGGGTGGTCCTCAAATTAGGGAATTTTTAAAACTAACTTTTTTGTTTTACAAAATATAAACATGTGTTGTTGAAAAAAGTAGCAGTTAAGTTACTTGCAAGCAACTTTGTCGAAGAAATTTTTTTTTATCTCTTAACGTTCTCATTTTAGAGTAATTTATCGGAGTTGACTTAGGGTGTTCCTGGAAAAAATAGTGTTTTAGCAATAACTTTTTTATTTGAAAATTCTCATGAAAGTTTTCTACTAGAGACTTTTAAAACTATTTAAGACGAATGTTTTATAGCTGAATTGGTTGCCTGTATCTCTTCTAATAAAAAGATATACTCAAATATAATAAAAAATATGAATTAATTCAAATTGATTTTATACGAGTTTAAAAAATAACATACCTCCAATTTTTTCATATTATTGAGAATAACATACGCCCTTTCAAGTGCTGCAAAAAATTGTTTTTTTGTTTGCCACAACCAGAGATATTAACATTTGAAAAGTGCATATTTTTAGTATACAAATGTCAATAACTCTTGATCGGCGAAAGATCTTTGTGCAGCAAAAATTTGCGCCTTCTTAAGATCTTAAAGTTATCTGAAGACACCTTTGCTGAGAAATTTGAAATAAGAAAAATAGAGCAAAAAAACTGTTTTTTTAAGAGCCACCCTAACTCAATTCAAGAAAATAGCTCTAAATCGGCCAATTTAAGAGTAACAAAAAAGTTATTTTCAACAAAGTTGCTTGAAATTAGCTCAGCTATAACTTTGCCCAAGAATGTATACCTTAATTTATTCAAACAAAAAAGTTAGATTTTTTATTTTAATGATAATAGGAACCACCTTAGAATTCATTGTCATAAAAATGAGGGAGTAACTATAAGGAACAACTTTGTAGAAGAGACTTTTAGTCTAAAGTTTCAATTTCAGGCTCAAAACATATCATTCCACCTAAATCTGCATTCTGTACCACTGTGCAGTAAATCACAAACCCCCTGTTCTCCACTGCTCTTCCGATGTGCATTAAGTTCCTCACAACGGTGTCAAATTTGAACGGATTTGGTTATGATCTGGATTTGCAGGAAAATTTTCAGTTTTGTATGGGAAAATGTATGGGAAACGAAATGAACCTATTAATTTGCATAACAAACATTCAAATACTACTCAAATTTTCTCCAAATCTTGGAAAAAATTGGTATGTTTCGAAGACTGCAAATCGATTAGACTTCTGAGAAAAAATATTATTAAATTAATTAAGACACATTTCACCAAACATACCTACAGTAACTTTTTGTGCAAATATCAAATCGATTTGCAGTCTTCGACAAAGTTGTTTTGTATACTATTCTCAATTTAAATCCGAGATTTAGTGAAATTTGAGCAACACTATTTTCATATTTTATACATCGAAAGACCAGTGGGGAAGGGGGGGTTAAAGTTGACCCACCCTAATGTGCATGCTAAGTGGCTCATCGAACTGTGCTGGCGGAGGAAGGGAAATATCTAGCATGGCTCCAAGGTTGACTGACTAGCGTTTTACCACTGGATGAGAGGGATGGGATCGATTTTTTTGATTCATCCTTCGCGCCGAGGTGATGAAAAAGCTATCTTCCAATGCATCACGATTCACGGTTGCATCCCACGGGAGTTGAGTATATGAGCATTCAATATATCGTTCCGCTATTTTCGGCATGATTTATAAGCGTTTTTTAGTGTTGCAAGGACACGGTGAGGCCATCAAGAGGCGGAAATGTATGTAGAAAGTGAAAAAAATATTGATTGCGCCATCGTTGTTGGAGGTAGGCCAGCTTAGTTGTCGTCGTCGTCGTCGTCGTAGTGGATGCTGTGTTTAGCTCCGTGATTTTTTATTCATCGTGCATTCTTGATTGTGAGATTTTGATTTATGAGAGCGGGAGACAACGCGAGGGTTACTGTACAAAGTGAGGCACTTGTTCATGCTTTTTGTTGTGGATGGCTGAAAGCGTCTGCTGGCAGTATACATTCACGGATGGTCCATGGAGCGAATTTCATGTATGTAAATAGTCAGTTTTTGTTACACGAGCAGCACGAGTGTTTTGTGTTCTTGTGTATATAATGGATTTTTACAAGTCCACGTGACTGAACGACACGCTTGGGAGTAACTTTTTTTTTCCACCGTTGTTTGGTAAATTATCCTACACTATCCTAGTAGCTGCATCGCGATGGAGGACACTCAAAATTGGATAGCTAGAACTTTGTTTGTGGATGTAATTTACATATGCATGTACATTCAAGGCCGGGCGCCTAACTCTATATATTGTGTCAAGTGCCGTGTTCACCAGAGGAGAAGAGGATTTTGAACCGAACAATGCATTGATCCGTATTTTCGATTCCGCTAGGAGCAATCAGTGTTAGACTTCATCCAAAAAGCGGTTTGTTTGTTTATTTGTCGGTTGGTAGGTGTCTGTTTTGCTTAATTTCATTCCGCGGCAGACTCAGAACAGAGAACAATATCACAAACACAAATCGGTCAAAGACAAACGGATAGGATAGAAATTTTGAAAAGGAGTAAATTTAGAACGAACAAAAAAATAAGAAAGAACAGGACAGAAAAACAAAAAAAAAAAACAAACTGAAAAAAAGTGCAGAAGGAAACAAAGGAGTCGTACACCAAATGCAGCCAATGACAAGAAGAAGAAAACGGAAATAAGTACAAATCATAAATGGCAACGAAAAAGATTATACAAAACACATAGGTCACGAATACGAAGTCACGGGGTTGCTTGCGGGATGAAATCTGCACCGAGTGTGTGTACTTACTACCGATTCATTGCCCTGAAATTGAGAGAGAGGTGTTTTTTCGGTGAAATGTTCTCGGTAAGCTCTAATACGTAGAATACGCGCAGAATCGATTAGAACTATTTTGTTGATTGAATGTAGGTCAATCAACAGCGAAACGTTTTGTGATTTCTCGACTGTGTGAACCATTTTTTTCGTTGATGTTTAAAGACTTTTGTGAATTATTTACTCGTTATTGTTTTATTCATTTTGATGTTTTGTTTTGTTATGTTTATAAGATTGATGGTCGATTATTTCATTTTGATAAATTTTAGTCACTGGAATTTATGGTTACTTATAAGTTAATCAAAGTATTTTTAATCTGTGATTATTTATTTTGATAGATCGTATAGCAGGATTCAAGAAGACTTTTCTAATTAACTTCCTTTTTTTTTTCGTAATTTTATACTTCAACATAAAGTTTTAAACATTTTTTTTTAACTAAACACTCTTTACTAAAGAACCATATACAATCTTCTACTGGATTTGGGAATATTTAAAAAATCTGATGTTGTTTAACAACAGGGAAACCCTAAATAAAAGGGCGTTATGTAGCTAGAAAAAAAAAACGCACCCCTCGCAATGCAAAGTTGCAGTTTCATTATTCGAGCACTATTTTGCACCAGATTTGCAATTTCTTTGGGTGAATTTATTGATGTTTCCCGTAAATGTTCAGAGAACTTCATAGAAGTTGTGAAGATTCAATAGATGAAGGAATTTTACAGAAACGTTGGGAACTTCTGAGAAGTTTGAGAATAGTTTATAGAAGTTTGGAGAACTTCATTTAAATAACGAAGAGCTTCACAAAAAAAAATCGTTAATTGTTAACAGTAAACTGTATGGAAATTGTATTTTTACAAAAACTTTAGGGAGTATCATTGAAGTTTAGGTAATTTCAAAGAAGTGAGAGGTATTTCGTACAAGATCGGGAAACATCTTAGTAGTTCTGAGAGTTTCTTAGTATATTATAGAACTTCATGGAAATCCATGGATCTTCGCAGAATTTCATGAAAGCACTAGCGTCTTTTACGTTTAAAGATATTCTCTCATATGATACCAGACTGCTCAGAAATTATTCCAATGATCTTAAGTTGTTCTAAAATCTCCAAGAAGTCCTTTAGATATTTTTCAAAACTTCAGGTTGATCAGGTATCATTCTGAAAATGTCCAACTATCCAACAATCTAAATTATATCTCTCAGATATCCTCTGATATCAGGCAGCTCAGAAATTTCTCTATGTGCTTCAAGATGTCTATAAAGTCCTCTGGATACTTTTTCAAGACTTCAGGTTGATCAAGTACTATTATGATGAAGATCTCAAACTATCCAACAATTCAAATCCTTTCAAAGGCCTTCATGTGATCAGAGATCACCACAAAATTATCAGGATGTTCTCATGTGCTCAGGTTGATTTAGTATAATTCGAAAGATCTTCAACTGTCCTCTCAGATATTTAGCTGCGATACTAGGTTGCTCAGAAATTGTTTAAAAGATAATCAGGTGATCAGGTTTCTCTATAAATAATCATACTTTCTTTACATGGTTCACCTGCGAATCGTCCGAGAACTCTTCTTGTAGTTCGAACTTGTTACCTGACACTGGATTACGAATCATCGAAGCAAACAAAATTTGCACACGCACACATTTGTAGGGATGAATATCAAACGCCTTTTAAAACTGCGCATTGCGCTGATCGTGTCAAATTTTCATGTTTGACAGTTTACAATTTTTGAACTGTCGAGTAGTTTGAAACAATTTCGAAACTCAGCATTGCGAACGGCCTAAGAAAAGTATGGAAGACTCCTTCGAAAAGTTCAAATTGAACTGTCAAATTCAACCCACACGCAAAAAAAAAAAACACCGTTGCGATATTCGTGAACAAAAAATCATGATAAACTGAACTACTAGTTCTTTCGAATTCATGAATTAGTTCCCATAAACGAGATCGAGTAAATCGAATTTTCATGAATCTAATCTCAAATCTGTGAACTTAGTTCACGCCTGTTCAGCGCAACTAGCGATTTCGTAACTCTTAGCAAAATACAAAATAACATCATGATTTCGTGATACCATGAAACCATAATTGAGATTTTCGTTCCTGAAATCGTGAGCTTGGATCTCATGCAAAGCTGTAGCAGTCATTTACAGGTTGCTGTCAAACTTATCCCTACTGAGTGCTCGGATTCGTCGAGATAGTGTGTTGCTTATTAGTGCATTCAGCTGACCCGTTTCGTCAGAATGGTGGTGGAGTTCATCAATCTGGCTGAAATCCTCGAAGGGGTGAACCAGTGATCGTTCTGTTTCAATGCGATAAAACGGTATCAGTTGTGGACACAACTTTGAAGATTGTCCCAGAGGCGGCTAGTTGAGACCATAGAAATAGCATGAGAGGGAAGGTGAGCAGGCACTGATGCAGCTAGCATCAATGGGGATGTGATCAGTACTTGTTGCTTGTTATGATGATGATGATGAAGGTGGTCGTAACTGCGGTCATGGTGACCGAAGATCCGTTGAATTGATAAACTCAATGTGTGTCCACCTACCCCCTGCTGCCAATTTGGAGAATGGATGAAACCTGCATTGTTCGGTTGTTGCAGCCAAGTCTTCCGCCTTTTTCAGATTCCTTCCACTGTACAATCCAATCAAAACATTGGAAATTATTTTAATGTTGATGTTTTACAGTCCATGAACCATGATTCTATTTTCGAGAACGGGTTCACAATACTAAGCACAACTCATGAACTCTAATCACGTTTACCAGAACAAGATCATGATTTTCAGAACAGAGATCACGTTTCTATGACTTGTGTTGCCTTTGCTGGTGCCCCGTGCAACTTAGCGTAGGCGTTACGTTTATTCTACGATTTTTATTCATGGTGTACTTTCGTAAACGAAAAATTGACTTGTTCCGAAAATCGTGACTTGAGGTTGACAAATTTCGGATCAGATTTTTTCCCGTGCAATTACTAAGTACTATAATCGTGAATAGTTTTCCAACTCAGTACATTAGACTGGCCCCCAAAAATAAAAGTTCTAATTTTCCACGGGCCAACCTCTAGATGTGTGCCTTTAGGTGAGAAAAAACCATTCTCTGAAAGTTTTAGCTCATTTTGTTGTAGGATGAGCTGGCGCTTTTAGTTTGAATTTTGTATGGGGATTTTGGATCAAATACATGAAAAAATGACACTCATACACTCTATCGATCACAAAAAAGTTTCCTTATTCTTGATTTTATTCACATTTTCAAAGCTTGTACTTCAACCAATGAGTAACAACTTTTAAGAAGACCGCATTTTTTTAAATACTAATTTGAGCAAAGTTATTTCTTATAGATCAAGCTACATATTCTGAGCATAAAAGAGTTTGCTGAACCAGTTTTATGCACGAAACAGTGAAGGGGATGTTATTTCTCCATGAATTTCGAAAAATATCCCCATTTAAACTTTTAGCCAAAAGCGCCAGCTCGTGTTACATCCGAATGAGCTTAAATTTTCAGAGAGTGGTTTTCTCACCTAAACTCCCATATAAATGTGGGCCAGTCTACAGTACATGTTATCCAGAATCATGAATACATTTCTAAGTTCAATATATAGTAATGTCTTCGTTGTCTCTTCTTGGACAGAGGTCTTGAAATATTTTTGAAGTCTAAAAGTGAAAATAATTGTTTCAAAGAAAACCGTAGGTTCGGATCGTTCGCTTTTCAAAATTCGGCCTAATGACCCATTCGACCTAATGGCTTTCGGACTAGTGGCCTTCGGCCTAATGATATTCAGCCTAACGATATTCGGCCTAATGATATTCGGCCCAATGATATTCGGGGCAATGTTATTCGGCCTAATGGTATTCGGCCTAATGATATTCGGCCTAATGAAATTCTGCCTAATGATGTTTGGCCTAATGATATTCGGCCTAATTATATTCTGCCTAATGATGTTCGGCCTAATGATATTCGGCCTAATGGCCCTATACCTTCACTTTTTACTCCGCGTTAAATTTAACGCAGACATTGGAACACAGCCGGATAATTCGTTGCGTTAAGAAGAAATGAGTTTCAAAGTTTTGACAAATAAATTGTGCGAGAGAGATTCTCAAGATTATTCTATTTGATTTTTTCCTCTTCCAATTGCATTAAATTTCTCACAATTGTTCACTAGGGGCAATGAATCAAGTTTGTGCTCGAATTCGGATATTTAGACTCTTTAAACGCCTAACGTTTAAAAATGGCGTATTCGATATTTTTCAATAAGTCATAGCATAAAATCGGCTTATCTGACAACGTCTGAGACAAAGTTGCAGGATACCCCGTAACGTGGGTAGATCACCTTTTCGTGGTACGTTATGGGATGTAAGATCTACCACCGATTCCTAGTCCTGACTACTTAAAACTAGGGGAACAGGATTTTTCAGTAATCCAAGGAACACATCTTAGTTCTTGTTACTTTTTATGCCTTGTTGATAGTGACAAGACTCGGCTTTGCCCACCGAGGATGATCTTGAAACAAGGAAAAAATTAGTTAGTTAGTCTTAATCTATGTGATTCCTAATCTTCTGTTTGTTGATCTCTAGTTTAATGTGGTTAAGATAAGGGTTCTAGGGGTCATTCCTTAATTTTGTTGCTAAGGAATCCAATTTTGACTGACAGAGGGGCGCGCCTATGGAGGGTGTTTCAACTCTCCGAAGGGTATAAATAGCAGAACCTTTCAATTAGAGTCGGATCCTTGTGATAAATGCAAGAATGACAACTGTAAAAAAAATTCGAATATTTTATCATTTCTCAATAGTGATGGAGTAATACGACATGCTAAACTAAGGACACGGGATAGACTACAATAGATAAAATTACTGGTCGCAGTGGTGTTAGGTGCCGAACAGAGGAAAAAAAAAGTTGTAGGAAATGGGAAATGTTAAAAACGTTATGAACTACTTCGGCCTAAGCGACCATTTTGGGCCTATCAAGCAGAAAACAACCAATAAATCCATGATTTTGGCGTTGCGG